TAAATATAATTGCCTTATTTTGTACAAAATTAATTGATGTAAACCTTATTATTATTTTATATTTATTATATATGGGAGAGGTTGGACAACATCAGATAAATTAAGAAGTTTGAGTGATGTAAGAAGTGAAGAAATAATATTTGGCTGGCCTCCGATTTCAAACTTAAAAAGAAAAAGAAAAATCAACGAGAAAAACAATTGTTTAAATTAATAATCTAATCTAAGATAACTTATAAAACTAAGGAATAAGGGTCAAATAGGCCATCGAACTGCACTCAATAATGCAATTAGGCCACCGAACTTCAAAAAGCTACAATTGGGTCCCTGAACTAACAAATTCTATTCAATTAGTCTAATTTGTAGGTTTCCAAGTTGTTAGCAGGTTAGCTCTTTTCAAAAAAAAAATTAATTATTATTTAAAATAATTATTTAATATTAATAATTAAAATTAAAAAAAAAAAAAAAAAAAAAAAAAAAAAAAAAAAACAGAGATTGACACGCCGGAGACGAAGAAGGTTTCTTCGTCTCCGGCCATGGAGACGGAGAAATCTTCTTCGTCTCTGGCTGGAGACGAAGATATTCTTCGTCTCCAGCCAGAGACGAAGAATATCTTCGTCTCCATGGCCGGAGACGAAGAATATCTTCGTCTCCATGGCCGGAGACGAAGAGACTCTTCGTCTCCGGCCATGGAGACGAAGAGTTTCTTCGTCTCCGGCAATGGAGACGGAGTTAACTTCTTCGTCTCTGGCCGGAGACGAAGGAACCTTCTTCGTCTCCGGCCAGAGACGAAGAAATTAACTCCGTCTCCATGGCCGGAGACGAAGAAGGTTTCTTCGTCTCCGGCAGACGGTATCTTTTTTTTTTTTTTTTTTTTTTTTTTTTTTTAATTTTAAATAAGTATTTTAAATAATAATTTTTTAAAAATATTATAAATTAGGGGTGACCTGCTAATAACCTCCAAAACCTACAAATTGGACTAATTGAATAGAATTAGTTAGTTCAGGGAGCTAATTGTTGCTTTTTAAAGTTCGATGGCCTAATTGCATTATTAGGTGCAGTTCGATGGCCTATTTGACCCTTATTCCTAAAACTAAATACATTGTATACTCTTGAATTATGTCTATATTTTGCCAAAAACTTGTGTGAGAACATTTCACATATCAAATATAATACTTATACAGGAAAATGTTTATTAGTTATATGAGAACATGTTTAATACTAATAACAAAAAAGAAAAAAAGATGTTTATTTTTTTGTTAAAAGGAAAATTTCAAGAAAAAAGAGATGGAGCCAGAACCCAGAATTGAAGCAACAGACGAATGTGAAGTTGAAGTAAAACGTATAGTAGTATACAATACAATAAATATATGGAATTCCTAAATATATTCCAAAAAGCAATCATGGCATAATTTAAATCCCAAATTAAAGGCTTTCATTATGCAGTAAATCAAGACGCATATGAAATTGTCAAACTATAGTGCTCCACTTTCTGCTTTACTTTCTACTTTCATCCTCCCTCTTTGTGAACATTTTGACTACATTATCGCCCAATTAGTATTTTTCAATATAATTAATTACGCTGTTACTGTACGTTTAATTTCTGCATTTTTCATTATTTTAAACATGCACTTGCCTACACTTCTACTACGCTAGCTTCAACTAACCACTTTAAAATATTAATTTTTTAAATACGTAGGTGATCTCAACTTCTCCAAACTAATTCTAAGCCCAAGCCACAAGACCCGTCCTACTGCATATAAATTACAAGTCATGCAATCAGTCCATCGATCAAACCTTAAATAATACAGAATAATATTTTTATTTAGAGTATTCATAATTCAAACTTTATTATTAAAAAAAAATTGTTTTGTTTTAATTCAGTTAGGCAAGTCTTTGAAATCGACTTCAAATTTTAATAATTGTGTGCTTGCTAATGTTATGTGCTACTATTGAGGCTCACATGTCTTCTGTGACCTTGAACCGTACCCCTTACAGTATGAAAAGGAAAACAGGTATTCAATCGTCACAATATAAGTTTGTTATGTCATCATACTGTACTCTAGATGCTAGAAGTTAATCCTATCATGTGCTTCGTATTCCTAGCGTGTAAGCATATTGAACTATTCGTGAGTATTTTTCGAGTACTATTGACCGTTACAATGCACTATGTGTTTATAACTACTTTCTCAACCTATTGAAGTACAAATGAGTCAATATCACTTTCACTAAAACTCGATCTCACAACCTCTCATATTGAACTACTCGTTAGTATAATTATCCAAGTTTGATTCAATAAATGTTTAAATTGATCCGATCAATTATTGTTGAATTGAGTACCAACTATAAAATAGTTTGAGTAATTAATCAATTCAAACTTGAGTATCTTAATAATTGGCTTGAGTAATCAAGCTTTATAAAAGTATATAATATAGAAAATTTTATACATCGTGATATATAAGTGCTATAATCAATGGAGCATTGGATCACCACAACTCATCACCTCAAACATGACACGTCCTTTTTCTACAAATTATGTTTATTATAATTTTCATAAAAGGACCTTACTTTTATTTTGCAGTCCAAAGAGTTAATATCCCACCAGAGATTCAATTCTGTGACCTTCTCTCGAAGGAAGTCACAGATGTGTCATTTGAGCACAAGGTGCTTGGCAAAAAAAAAAAAAAAAAAAAAACTTAATTTAGCTAAAATTTTAATTTTTGAAAACAAATCTAACTTTAAGATTTAAGTATTTGAGTTGGACTGGATTACACACTTCATACTCCACCTCTGGTTTAATATGGTCTTCAATGGCCATCTTTCTGCCACCCACATTACTAGCTAGCTATATATACAAACATGTATGTATGTCCCGATTTAATTTCGATTTGAACTCTGATCTGATTACAACTTACAAAAGCAAACTACACGGATGAAATTATAAAGCTGTTCACCCCAGGGAAAAAAAAAACCATTTATTCTTTAAATTCGAAGTGATAAATTATGTATTTAATTCGAAATTTTAAATAATAACACTGATAAATTAAAGGATCTGTGCTGCCCAGTAAGGTTAGTTGTTTAATTATATTACCTCCTTGTCCGATGTATCAAGAGTACGTGTTGAACAATTTTGGCAGTGATGGATATATTAAGTATGGGCTCGGGACGAACCGACCCGGGAAGGCCGGCGCGAAGGCCTACGGAGGCCCCGTATGAGGCCGACCAAGGCCTCGGCCTACGGCGAGGCCGACCAAGTCCTCGGCCTACAACCTCGGTCGAGGCCTACGTGGGCCTGGAGGCACAAGATGGCCCCGGGCACTCGCATTGATCCGGTCAACGCGTGATCCAACTGCCCCGCGAGAATAGGGGGGCGGTTGGGAGTCTTGGCTAGTATAAAAGGATTAGTTAGTGTCTTGCCTAAGGACATCTACTTATTATTATTACAACATTTCACCTTGTAACCCTTCTACAACTATTATCAATACAAAGTTGTCCCCGCGACACGCATCTTCCCTATCCCTTGTTTATCGGGTTTAGTGATTCGGGTCTATCCCGGGTTAATTAAATCCATCAGGCAGCCATTTCTTGTCTCCCTAATGTTTTCTGTCCTCTTATTGTTCCTCTGGTGGTGGTGTAGTAAGAGTGTTACGTTAGAGCAATTCCAAGAGTATCAAGTTTTTGTCAGGTTTTTTGTTGTCACATGGGATAGAGAAAAAGACAGAAAAACAAAATAAAAAAACAAAACAAGTTGTGAGTCAAGTTTGTAGCTCTCCTTAAGGGAAGGTCACAATATTGAACTCTGGTGGTGGAGTGCTTTTGTGTATCAAGATTATAATTTTTTTTCCCAAAATTTTTATTGGGAATACTCTTAATCTCAATTAAAAATGGGCTGCCATTGATCAGGTACATACTCTGGAAGACTTTAATGTTATTTTATGCATTTATTTATATACCATATAAATTGTACGGAATATTAAATTTGAAAAATATTTCTTACCTTTACAATTATCCTTCCATATTAGTCACTTCCGAATTAATAGCGAAAAATTATTTATTTTCATTCTTCAAAAAATATTTATTTTCATAGATTATTTGTGAGTTGGTTAATGGCTACTCACCCTAATCTAATGAAAAATATACATATCTAATCAAACGATAACAATTCAAAGAGTGACTAATATATAATGGTAATTGTAGAGATACAATCTCTAGCATGGTCTTTAATTTATTTATTTTTTTTTTTTGTAATTCAATGCATTTGTTGATGAGGTAAATAAGTTGTATTATAAATTTATAATTATTAATTAGATATAGTAATTATCAAAAAATATCAATTACTAGTCAAACAACTTTAGTATAGGTTTGAATCCTTTATCAGTTTGACGTGTCAGATACAGTTAAGATTGTCCCTACTAATAAAACCTCCTCCTCGTGCATAATGAGGTGCCTAATAAATATCTATTGTGACAATACAAAATAAAAACAAAAGTTCTATTTGACAAAATTTATAACTTATTTGTCTAATGAATTAATCAAAATATGTCATGTTATCAGAAAATAAACATGTCATATCAGCAAATAGTAAAATATAAAAGTACATATAGTATTACTTTAAAGGAAAGAAAGTTTTTTTTTTTTAAAAAAAAACTAAATATTTATGAAGTATATAAAGCGCTCATTATTAAATGTAAGGAGTAATATGAAGTGCGCAATATAAATTTGTGTACTTAATTAGTGCAGATATTTACTTATGGAGTGATTAATTTCATTCACTACTTATTAGTCACCTGCACTTATAGGCTTAATTGTTTTGATCACCCTCAACATACAGTTTACTCATAACTTATTGCTATTCTCACTCGATCTCTCATTTCCCTCTATTTAAATTCTTCATTTCTCATATTACCTCACCACCTTCTAAACAATCTCCCAACTCTGATCCCTTAATTAAGATTAAGAAAAAGAATTTTAATTTCAATGAAAATGAGGGCTGGAAGTTTCATTGCCGTTTTTATGTCGGCAGTACTATGTTTCGTGTTCTTTAATGAAGCATTAGCGGCGGCAGCTGTTACGACTTTTAATGTTGTCGACTTAGGAGCGAAACCCGACGGCGAAACGGACGCGGCCGAGATTTTTCAACGGGCGTGGTGTGCAGCTTGTCGGTCCCCGGATCCGGCCAAGATTTACGTGCCGGAGGGAATGTTTTTGATCCGGCAAGGATATTTTAGCGGCCCTTGCGAGAACAACAACATTGTCTTTGAAATTTGGGGCACCCTTGTTGCTCCTTCCGATTACAACGTCATCGGCAATGACAATAACTGGCTGGCGTTTGAACATGTCGATGGAATTGCCATCCGCGGCGGCAAACTTTACGGCCAAGGCGCCGGCCTCTGGGCTTGTAAGGATTCCGGCAAGAAATGTCCCAAGGGCGCAACGGTACGTCTGTATATTAATTAACATCGATCTTCCCTAGCTTCAAAAATCACCTATACCACCATATATTACATTTCTTCCTTCTTCTTTTTTTTTTTTTGTTTTTTTTTTTTTTAGAATATGACAGTTACATTTTTTTTGGCTAGTGGTGGAAGTGGGGGAGTTTTTAAAACTTTTACTACACACTATCACTTCTAATAAAGTATATATTGTTAATAAGGTATTAGTTGATACTTGACAATGTTTAATGTAAATGTTTAATTTTAATTGAAACAATTTTTTGGGTCTTATTTATTATGTAGTAGTTATTAGTGAAATATAATAAAAATGACAACTTGTAATCCAGTTTGTTCTCTTAGAACTGTTTATTGACCTTTTTTATTTGATTCGATCACAACTATATATAGACAATTTAACTTTATTTACCTTATAAATCATAGTGATATATAATAATAGTGTTATATTTTGACAGGATAATAATTTTTTTTTCCAGGCCATATTAATTATATTCTAGTACATTGGAATGTTAAGGACTCGAGAATAACAACAATATAATGAATATATGGAGTCCAAACATTTGACCAAAAACATACAAAACCCAATAACTGATCAGAATAAAAGTGTTAGGTTGTATAAAACCTAGCTAGCTTTCACGGAAATGACAAAAGGAGGCAGTGATGGATTATATTACGTAAACCTCTTTAACGGTTTCAATTCTTTATTGTCAGATACTAAAGTTGTTGGTCCACTTTTGTTTCTATCTATTCTTGTTTTTGTACGGAGTAATAATTTCTTTGTTTTTTGTCCTCAACGTATGTGACATTACAGAACTTGAGAATTACAAACGCAAAAAACGTTGTCGTCACTGGGTTGCTTTCCTTAAACAGCCAAATGTTCCACGTCGTGGTCAACCGGTGCAGTAGGGTAACGATGCAAGACATTGAAATCAAGGCCTCCGGAGACAGTCCCAACACAGATGGAATTCACGTTCAATTGTCATCTGATGTTACTATACTCAACTCTAAAATAACAACTGGAGATGACTGCATCTCAATTGGACCGGGTACAAAAAACTTGTGGATGGAAAATATTTTATGTGGACCTGGACATGGTGTTAGGTACGTAAAATTACATACCTATCTTATTAATTACAAACATTACTAGTACAGTATTACATTTTTATCTTGACTTGACTGGTCATCTGATCTCAAGAAGAGTCACTCATTAATATTATGCGGGCAAATGGGTATATATTAGTAGCTAGTTATATATATGTGTTTGTTTGTTGAAGCATTGGGAGTTTGGGCAAGGACTTAAAAGAAAAAGGGGTGCAGAATGTGACGTTGAAAAGAGCTACGTTCAAGAACACACAAAATGGAGTGAGAATAAAAGCTTGGGGTAGACCAAGTAATGGGTTTGCCAGAAAAATCGTTTTCAAAGATATAAAAATGACCAATGTCAAAAACCCCATCCTCATCGATCAAAACTACTGCCCAGGCAACAAAAATTGTCCGGGTCAGGTAACAAAATTACTTTAATTTCCTGGCTACATTTTATCTAGCTACTATATATATATTAACTTAAAATTTGTTTGTTACAAACAGGCTTCGGGAGTGAAAATTAGGGACGTAACGTACCAGAACATTAAGGGAACGTCTGCAACAAAGGTAGCGGTGAAGTTCGATTGTAGCAAGAAGAACCCTTGCAAGAAAATAAGAATGAGAAACATAAAGCTGAGGTTCAAAAAGAAAGGGGCTACAGCTTCTTCTTCTTGTGCATACGCTGCGGGAAAGACTTATGGCCAAATCCAGCCTTCCAGTTGTCTCTAGATTTTGTGGTTTAATTTGTACTTGAGATTGAAAATTTTTTTATGGTATAAATATATGTTGAGTTTACTTTTAATTTGGATCAGTTCAAAGTGAGACAAAAAAGTTAATTGATGATATATTGTACGGACAAAATAAATAATGAGTGAATGAGAATTTGATTATTAAAGTAGACATATTATTTGAGTTTAAAAATGAAGTTGGGAATATTTATCTTCTACTTCCTGTCCTGTGTACCATATATTCTATCTTACATATCACATGATATGATGTTCGGAGGTGCAATCACGCCATGGGCGAACGTGGATGAGCTCACTTCCGTCGTCAGCTTGCATTGTTTATTAACAATGGAAATCTATGATTAATTCATTAATCACTCCTAAGCTATACTCTCGCCTTTGTCCTCGGTTTCCATCATTACGCTTTCGATCTGCTAACATGTACAATTCCCATACTCAATTATCAACTTCCCTAATCCCTTCTAATTAATTAAATATCATTAATTACACATCATATTCCATGATTTATCTTTTTCACCAATATTCAATACATAAATTGTGAGTTGAAGGGCCGAAGTTAGTTTCAAATTCAAATTTATAAATATCATCAGATATGTTCACAATGTATATAAAGCAAATCAGTGCAACGAGAAATGTTTTGTATGAATTTTATTAGGAAAAAACAACAATTAAGAAATACGCATTAGAAAGTCAGAGCAATTAAGATTCAATATCTATTTTGTATATTGATGGTTGTAATTAATTATGTGAAATATATGGAAAGAACATGTGATTATGTATTAAATTAAATTGATAAATGACTTTTAGCCTTTTAAGTACAAGGTAAGAGTAGCCAAGGGGTGTTATTACAAGATTCAAGCTAAGATAGAATCATAGAGACAAGAGAGTATGTCTAGCTTATTATATAAGAGATCAAACTCAAATAGCTAACAATTAACTTTTATACATACTCATGAAATATAAGTGAGACGGTTTGAATTGTCTTTTTTAAATTAATAATAAATCTTGAATTTAAGACTTGAAAATACAATTACTTTGTGGGTGATAGACATCATTGTCCAGTAATAAAGAGGTGGTGCATTATATTACTAATGCAAATGTGGAGTGGCCTCCTAGCTTCCTAGGCCTAATAATAGCTAATCTTGGATCTTCAAGTTAAATGAATTGATTGGATTGACATCTCATAAGCTATGATCGTTTAGTCCATCTAAGTCAACTTAGTCACATTATATTGCTTGTGATAAAAGGAGGATTAATCGCCAACTCTAACTCAACAGTTTGTGGAGGAACTTCGTTACATTGGTTCCTCAGTTCCTCGTGTCACATCATTTACAAGGGTATATATTACCTTTTAATGATGTTTAATCCTATTAACTTATAACCTCAGACTAGATAGTTAATTACATGTAATTGTAGAAAAAATACAATTATATTATGATATATATATATATATATATATATATATATATATATATATATATATACTCTGATTGGGCATAAGAGCTAGCTATCCATATGTAAATGATATCTAACAATTGTCGGCATGGACAGTTCAACTGGTCATAGAGGTGAAGTTTGGAAAGAATGATCAGGAATTGAGTCTCACTAGCGTCAGTGTGGGAGCAACCTCTCAAAGTGAGACGGCTCCTTATGCGCAGTAAGCAAAGGTCTGGCCTCTGTGGTTCATGTTCAGTTGAGTTATCATGATTTACATCCTCTCAAATGCTCTGTGGGGCCGGGGTGTAGGGCCCTTAGGGTTGAGGTTCAACCGTTCAACTTCAACCTTTTGGAAAGAATGATATCTAACAATTGGAATAAATTAAACATGGTAATATGCGGGCAGTGCTGCGTTTTTCATGGATCTGATGTCTAAATAAGTAGAACAGTAGATCATATCATAGGTAGTGGACTATGTTGCCATTAATCCACCGCACATGCACTTCACTTCATCATTTCGTGATTCCACCGTACATATATAAGTACTATGCCACCTGCAAATTAAACTTTATTTTTTTTTTTTTTATAACTTAGCTTAGATCCAAACTAAGCATTGGGTTACGTACTTACGTTGCTGCAACATTATATAATCCACATGGAACCATTCAAAAACTTATACGCTCATTCTTCATTCTTCATTCTTCTAGCTCCTCTTCATTCTTCTTTCTGGAATCAGCACTCACTTAAAATAGTTACGAGGTTGTCTCGAAAACCTAGCCAAGATGCCGGCGTTTATGTTTTTGTTCACCTTCTTCGCCTTTATGCTAGTGTCTCCTAGCTTGGCCGTGAATGTAGTTGGCTACGGTGCTAGAGGAGATGGTAGAACGGACTCGACGGAGGCGTTCCACCGCGCTTGGGCGGCTGCATGCCGTTCCACTAGGCCAGCGGTGGTTTACGTGCCGCGGGGGTTGTTCTTGATTCGGCCCGTGGCTTTTAACGGGCCGTGCCGGAGTAGAATCACCTTCCGAATCGACGGCACCCTCGTCGCTCCCCACAACATTTACGCCATTGGCAATTCAGAATTCTGGATTTTGTTTTATAAGGTCAGTGGGCTCTTAGTCCAGGGTGGAACCATTGACGCTAGGGGCAAGGGTTTCTGGAATTGTCGCACTAGAGGCCAAAACTGTCCACGTGGATCAAGGGTAAGTCCACAACACCTTAATAAATTTCATTTTTTGTTCTGAGTGACGGAAAAATCTTGCAGTTTGTACTATTATTGAAGGTTGTGTACTGTCTAGGTTGTCTATAGTTGATGGACTTTAACTAAAGAGACCAATAAACTGTGCTCCCAATAAATAAATAAATTTCATTATTACATTTTTCTTTGAATCTCAAGTTTTCTAACGGGCGAATTAAATTTATTGTTTTTATACAGTCATTAACAATAATGCACTCGAACAAGGTTGTTGTTAGCGGTTTAAGATCATATAACAGTCAGACGATTCACATAGCAGTTGGACATAGCAGGGACGTGAAGTTACAGAATGTGAGAATAAGAGCTCCAAGTGGAAGCCCCAACACAGATGGTATACACGTACAGAGCTCCATGGGCGTTACAATCACAGACAGTGTAATAAAGACTGGAGATGACTGCATCTCAATAGGCCCAGGCGCCATGAATTTGTGGATACAAAGGATTGGTTGCGGCCCGGGACACGGCATCAGGTATATTTAAAAACCAATAAATTTTATTCTAACTCAGTCTTTGTTAGGATAGACACAACTTTATTTTCTTATATAATGTCTCATTTTTAAGAAGCATGGTACTGAACTTGTTCCTTCAAACTTCTGCCCAACAATTCTCCTAGTCACCTGGTATTGGATTTAATTTGGCCTTTCACTGACCTTTGCCTAACAATTATATTCCCTAACCATTTGATGCTAAATTAAACTTGGCTCTTCACCAGCAATCCCCTAGTCACTTGGTGCTGGATTATATTTAGCCCTTCACCATCCTCCGCCCAACAATCACTTGGTGTTGAACTTGGCGCTTCATCGGCCTCCAATTATATTCTAACAACAGATGTATTATCATTATGTACAGTATCGGGAGTCTGGGCAACAGTCACAATGAAGAAGGAGTTGAGAATGTGACAGTGACAAACGTGGTGTTCAGCAGAACTCAAAATGGGGTTAGGGTAAAGTCATGGGGAAGGCCAAGCGGAGGGTACGCCAGAAATCTCCATTTTAGAAACATAGTGATGAGATATGTTGCAAACCCCATCATTATAGACCAGCAATACTGCCCCAATGGCGGCTGTGCAAGACAGGTAACCCCAATTACAACTAACTAACACTACGTAGTACTCCTAAATAAACATGCATTTATTTGTATAATTATATATTGTTTAGAGTTCTGGGGTGAAAGTTAGTGAAGTGACATACAAGAACATAAGAGGGACATCGTCGACGCAGGCGGCCATGAAGTTTGAATGCAGTGCAGCAAATCCATGCAGTGGAATCAGACTGCATAACATAAGGCTGAGTTTCGTGGATCGTTTGCGCAGGCCAACTTTGGCTTATTGTAGAAATGCAAAAGGAAGTCACAGTGGCGTAGTCACTCCCAACACTTGCTTTTAATTTCAGAAACCCAAAATAAATATGCATGTAAAATTCATTAAGTAGATCGCCAACAAACAATTAGTTGAAGCAAATAATTCATCCAATTATTCTTCGATCGATCTGCAATATTATTTAGCTTCAAATATGAAATTTTCTATTCAAGCTTAGCTTGTTCGATCTTATACGTATGCCCAATCCCGAGAGTTGCTTTTGAAAAAAAAAAAAAAAAAAAAAAAAAAAGAGTTGTAGTCCACTTTTTATATATTGTGTAAATGTATTTGTACTTTATAATTATTAGGGAAAATGCTCAAATATGCCATTAAACTTTTTTTGTTTTTTGTAGTTTAGATTGAAATAATGTATTTTATTCAATTCGTTCATATATTTATTAATTTTTACTGTTTGCGATATAATTCACGTAGCTAGACTACTACTTCTTGTAACCAATGCAATAGGAAGACAGCTATATATATATATATATATATATATATAAATCACCATATTCAAATTATGGAGATTTTAATTAATTTAATTTGTAGCAATATTTATACATAGACTCCATCATCATGAGGTCATTATACAACATGTACAATAACAGATGCATTTTGCACTATGAGGAGAACCATGGACTGTACTCTATATATCAGTCTTCTCCCTTCATAAATACATGCAGTACCACTACCCAACTGCAGCTAAACTAAATTGATCGAAAAGAATTGAAGGAAAGAAAAAGATAGGAAATTGCTCTGTGCTGGCGCGTGCCTCATCCGCCGCCGGCCGGCAAGTCAGCTCATCAGAGCTTGCATTGCTTATATGTTAGAAACATTTTTCCGGCAAGATAACCCCTCCGGCGGTGCCACCTATGTTCTTGCAGTAGGATTTTGCCTTTGTTTTATCCACATAGGTCAGCTTTATGTCCTGCAA